ATATGTTGTGGCAGCTGTGAGCTGTGGGGTGGGGTGTCTGCCAAAACAATGAAGGAACGAAAACCATATCTGGAAAGGTGGCAAAACTGCCACACTATTTTCGGTAGTTAAAAATCAACTGAAAAACCAACAACAGACGCAATAATGTAAAATGTAGTGAAATATCAGGCCAAGTGAAGCCTCCCTGCAAGCTAAAACTAAACTCAAAACAGGAAGCCCTGTCCGAAACTGCTCCTGGAACGGAGAGCCACTCATGGGCAGATGCAGCATTTTGATATATTATTGATTTGCGGTTGCGGTGGAAGAAGATAGAGAGCTTCGACAGCTGCAGCTGCAGCAGCTGCAGCAGCAGAAACTGTTGCACTTTGGGACTAATTGAAGTGTTGCGGAGCAGGAACAGAACGAAGACCAGACAGGACCAGCAACAGTAATCGGATAGGAGCTGAAGGAGAGGAAACTGGTGAAGCTGGCAAACAATTGAAGTTTCTAAGAGCAAAACAGCATGCAGTGGGGGCAACTACTCGCATTATGCAATTGGTGGGTGGGGGGTTTGCCTCTCTTTGAAACAGTCCAAAATTTAATTTGCCTTTAGCTCCAATTTGCATAATAATCAGCAATTGGCACAGGAGAGCACCAGGAAACATGGGGATGAGGTGCCATTACGCATACGCCTAGTTTGCCCAAATTGGGTCATTGGCTTGCGTTTTATCGCTGCCAAAAATTAAAATCTAAGCTCGAAAGTTTCTTTGCGTCCTATGTTTGCGCCTCTCCTTCGTTCGCTGTTGTTGAGGCTTTGTCCTAATCACATCACGTGCCGCTGTCTTGTCTCACATTACACACGCCACACCACCGACCGCTGTGGGCAGGGGCTGTGCCGCAGCCACACAGCCATCCCATTTCCTTCTTGGGGCCCTAGATCCAACACACTCGTGTGTATGCAACTAACTTTCTGGCCAAAATTACAGGAAGAGGCCCATGTGCGGCGGCTGAGGCTAAGGCTGTAGCCATGGCCGTTGCCGTTGCCGTTGTCTGTTTCTGGCATTTGTCGCAATTGCCTTTAACTGCCCGCGCGTGTGCCCTGCCAACAACGCTTTATTATGAAAGCCGAGTTTGCCACTAAGCACGTCGTAAACAATAAGCTGGTCGTCGCCCTTCCGTCCGTCCGTCCGTCCGTCCGTGCGTCGAGCATGCTTATTACTTTCGACCCATTATGGGACAGGACACAGAACGCAGCACACGGTACACAGGACAACAGGGCAAGAGGACAACAGGACAAGAGGCGTTGGACAGCTTTATGGCATGCATATCGTACATACAGCATATATACACATAGCAATACACATCCTCGGGTACTCGTACTCGTTAATGGAGACGCTCTCCCATTGTATATATAAATTCTGCTTAAAATCCTTTAATATGCCGTGCCGCATTGTCCTGCAGAATGTATGTATGAGAGAGCATGGGGATTCCCATGCCCAAGGAGAGTGAGGTGCCTGCTGAGTGTCATGAGCCACGAGGTACTGGGCGCGAGGCGGCTGGCTTAAATAATTATTGTTACAGTTTCAATTTGGTCTTCGCTTTTTGATGTTGAGGCTCAGAATGCCCCAAGGCCCCAAGGGGCTACCCGCTACCCAAAAGATGAGCCAAAATTTCAGCTCTAATTACAGTGGGAGCAGGAGCGAGAGCCAGCAGCTACTCTTCCATAAAATATTCAATATTTCCCCGAACTTTAGCCAAGAATGTGAGCCCAAAACTTTAACTTTTATCCAATAACCGAATACACAAATGAAAAAAGTTTTGTGGGCAGTTCCACTGTGCCACTAGTGGAATTTTTCCGCACATTTGCGCCGCTTGTTGCAATTGACATTTCACTGACTGTCAAGTGCTCTGCCCTGCTCTGCTCTGCTCGTCTTTGCATTCGCATTCGCTTGCTTTGTAATTTAAATGAAAATTAAACTAATTTGAAAATTCTTAAACAAACTCACACACACATGTGTACATGTTTCTTGTGCGTGTTTGCCCTACACATGCCCTTGCAGCAGCAGCAGCAGCAGCAGCACCCTGCTGTGTGTATTTTTAACCCAAATCCATTAGAGAAGTTACTCAAGAATCCTTTAGATATTTATGTGCTCTGAGCGCAGTCTTAACCTCTCTGCCCCATCCGCAAACACACAGATGCACACATACACACAGCGACTCTCGCAGCTACAGATACAGATGCAGCTGCAGTTGCTTAGCTGAAAGGTTCAGGCGATGAGAGGAGCAGCACCAGAGCACTGAGCACTGCAGTAGAGGTCACATCAAGTAAATAGCCAGCGTCAACGATGGCAACGACAACGACAACGACGCTGACAAGGATGGGGGCCAAACAAATACGCAAACATTTATAAGATTGCTAAGCTCATAACGAAATGCACTTACACTTGAAGATACACACACACACACAGACAGGTACCCCATCCAACCAAATGTTGCAATGTGACCATGCCTCTGGGATATCCTTGTGCTCTTCTTTTGCAGCGGGTATAATGATTTTTAGCAGCAAAACAGAAACAAATATTTTCTGGGTATACGAATGGAGTACAAAATAAATAGGGTATCCAAAGATTCGGTTCTCAAAGCTGTTCCTCCAATTCTGCTTTGTTGTCAGGCAAGTTCAGCAAGTATACGCCCTGTGGAACGGGTCGAGAGGTGCGCGCACGCGAAAGCGAGCTCATCTCACATTCATGCCGATGAGGCCCCCTGAGGTAAAAACTGCAGACAGCGGCAAAGTCAAAGTTGGAAAAAAAGAAAGCATCGAGAGAGAGACAGAGGAGTAAAGGTAAAAGTAAAGGCAAAGCCGCAGTCCCAGTCAACGGTGGGGCAGTGGGGCATAAGCAGAGGTAAAGCTACATATGATCTGGCTTAGCACCCCTGCTCAGCGGTGGGTTAATCCCCAATCGACGGCCGGCGGCCGAGCGCCAGCCCCTGGGGAGAAACGAAAAAGATGAACGAGAATAAGCGAGAGATGCCGCAACATCTGGCCGGAGATTTAATTAACTGCAAATTCCATGGCTGATGAAGATATTCGCAATGCGGGCGGGGCCATAATTATCGTTGCATGAATACATTTGCTGCTGTTTCCTGTCCCAATGCACGCTTGCACCCGCATCACAGAAGCGTATTTCTTTGCCATGCTTAAAACAGGACTCCCCCTGCACGCACACACACGGCACACACGGCACACACGGCCCACACGGCCCACACACCCACATGTCCGCTCATATTAAAAGTTTAATGTAAATGTAATGAGCGCGAGAGCATGCAAATGAACAGTTCGGATTTGGCCTCCCCCGTGCAGCGTTTTTTATTTTATTTTCCGTATTGCTGTTGTGGTTGCAACAGATGTGCGGCGACTGCCTGGCCTGGCCTGGCCCCTGCCCCGTTTCTCCGCGAGTGCTAATGAGTAAAGTCACTTAAATCCATTGAAAATGTTGCAAAATTTAAAATGCTTTTACGTGCAGTGCGAAGTCCTCCGCAGAGAAAATGGACTGGGACTTTGATTAGTCGGGGAAGCTGTGTAGTGTACTTTGTGTGGACCTTCTAAGAGATTGCCGCACTGGGGCGGGGCTATTTGGATTTGCGCTTCCTGTGACCGTTCCGTTCTCTGTCTCAAAGTTCCGACTGCATGAAGTAATCCCATTGCCAGCGACTGTTAATTGAATTGGCTTCTTCTTTGTCGACTTTGTCACATCTGCTGCTGCTGCTGCTGCTGCTGCTTCTGCCTCTGCTCCTTGGCCTTCTCGCTTCTCTGCCGTGGCGCCTATCTCTGTGTGTGCCCTTCTCTTGTTTCGTTATACGCATCGCTCTCTTCGTATATGTATGTTCTCCGTATCGGTGGGTATTTTGTATTCGTTTGAATATGTGGGACAGCTTCAATCCCAAGTAATGAATGCCAAAATGAGGAAAACCCACATCCAAATGGTCAGAATGCAAATTCTCTGTTTCGCTCAGTCTCCTACTCAGATATTTAGTTCCCGATTGCCAGTGGCTTCCCCCACTGGCAATTCTCTGTAGCTGTATCCCTGCTTTGCTCCGATAATTCCCCGTATTAGCGGGTATAGTCGGTCCTATAGTCGAAATATCGACTCTAATGCTTTCCTTTTTTTTTATTGTATTTTTTTCTGTTGTTCGCATTTACACGCACGTGCGCACAACTACATAGGCACTGGTGCCACGCCCCCTCATAGCACCTCAATACGCATTCAAGCGAACAAAATGCTAAGGGAGGGCTACGGACAAGGATGTTTCAGTTTCAGTTTCAGTTTCTTTTCTGTCTCGTGCACGGCGTTTAATTAAATGAAGTCGTTTGCATTAATGCTTGTCATTACGCATTTGCCTACTGGTTGGAGTCTCCTCCTCTAGGAGTCCGTCCCGAGTGCCAAGCCAAGAAACGGCCGAAGCACATGGAGGCAGTGAGTGCATGTACAAAATTCATTACCCAAATGGATAGCAGGTGCCTTTTGCCCGCACTAGCGCCAGCTCTTTTATGAATTTATCGTGTGAATAAGGGAGTAATGAACGTTCCACTTTCCGTGGAACAGCGATTGGAGGAGCGCACTCATTTCACGTTCTAGCATTGCCTCCTCTATGTGTGCCCCAAACTGTATCAAAATTCCATTTTCACTTCACACCGGGGATAAATCAAATTTCTTGTGGGATCCTGCCGCTGGGCTACCTACCAAACGCGCCCAAATTGAGGGACAAATGTCAATTAAAGCCGCATGGACGTGGCCCCTGTGCTCGGGCTGTGTGGCAATTAGGTATGGGGCCAGAGCTTGGTGCATGTTGCAGCTTGGCCGAGTGGCCCGGACGGCTGGCAGATCAATTGTCTGCGAATAGCAGCATGCTTGTGTTTTGTTCACCCCCGAAAGCTCTTGCAGCTCGTAAATTCCAGTCTCGTTGCAACAGTCTAGTGGCAACTGCAACTGTATGCCCGTAAAATGTGAAACGAATGTTAATTGAAACCGCATAGGCCAGAGATGTTCTCTATTTGCATCGAGCCAGCTACTGCCATGACATGCAAGCGACTGACTGCGAGAGCAAGAGCGTTAATATCGAAATCAGGGGCTGGCTGGAGCAGCTGCTCATCGTGTCTCGTATCCAGTCAAGGTTGCTCTGAACATCCGTGTAGACGGAAGGTGTCTCTGGGGATCCACACCCAATGGGATAGGTGACGATGCCAAACATTGTGTTGCCTTTTATCAACGGGCCGCCGAGGTCCCCGGAGCAGGGGTTGGAGTCGTTGCCCTCGTTGCTGCCGCACATCATGCCGTATTTGAAGGTCTTTAGCTTTTTCTGGCAGTACGCTAGTTCCTTCAGCAGCACATCGATCTGCAGTATGTTCGAGGCCAAGGGACCGCCCTGCAAAGGTTTGTAGCATTTGAATCAGAAAGTAAACTTTTGCTGCTGTTGATTTCTTGCCTCGTATATTCTGCCCCAGCCCAGAACTATGTACTTGGAGTCAAACTGGGGCGGGGCAGAGGGCAGCTCTAGGAATCCGATGCGGGGATTCCCAGTGGGCATTGAATACATCAGACGCACCATCGCCATGTTGTCCGTGTTCAGCATGGTAAAGTTGCGTGGCACGTACAGCGCCTTCACCGGGCTGCAGACCGTCTTGCCCGTGACGAACTTTAGCCGATTCGGTGACCCCGCCACCACCAGCAGCACCCGCGTCTTGAACATGGTCTTCGATTCGCTGGAAGCAAAGGCAAAAGTCAGCGAAAGAGATCTCAAAGGCGGCGCCCACCCCCCACTACCCACTCCATGATGCAGTGAGCGGAGGTCAGCACCCAATCCGGCGTCAAAAGGCCCCCGCCGCAGAAGTGGTCATCGCCAAAGTATCGCACGGGGGTCCTAGATCGAATGGAGACCACGTATTTGGCCAGGCTCAGGGTGTCCTTGTTAAAGTCTGGCAAGGACAGCCGCTTCACGCGGCCCATACTCTCGCTCCATGCGGACACCACCAACCACCACACCAGCAATAAAATCTTTAATACTCCGAAATTTGTGCATTTCATTATTTGGAAATTGTGTAAATGAAGAAAAACGTTTGACAGTTCGATCGAGGGATAGCGGATGGATACATCTGCTACGCTACTGTCATGGCATTCCGTGGCATTCTCCTGGCATTCTCCTGGCAACTGAATTGTCAAATTTCTTTGGCTGTTCCTCCTTCCGGCTTGCTGGCGGCTCTCCAATTGTAGTTTGCTTCTTTTGTTCTTAATGCCTGACTTACTTTTTGTGTCGTTTAAGTTTCCATTTCCCTGTTGCCTGCTTTGACACCCCTTTGCCCCACCCACTGGCGGCAGCATTTGCCTGCCCGGCCCGCGTGTTTGTGTAGGGCTCAAAGTATGTTTTAAGCAAAAGTTTGTTTGGCAAACTTTTGTCAAAGTATTTTCAGCTCTCGAATATTTTCATTTGCTGCGGCTGCTTCACCAAATAATTGAGGTTTAGTTTCTCTTCAGCTCTGCCTTGCCCCTCTGCCCCCTCTGCCCCCTCTCTCTCTCTCTCTCTCTTTCGCTCTCCGTTTTTCTCTGTTTCTCTGTTTTGGATTTTTTCTTTCTTTTTCGGACTCTTGGTTACGGCGCACAGCCTGCGATGATTTGCGGCAAACAAATTTATTGACAATTCATGGTGAGCCTTATCCCTTCTCGTCCTTTCTCTCTATCTTTCTCTGCCATTGCGATTGTGGCTTTGGCTGTGGCTATGGCTGTGCTGCGGCCGTTCAAGCGTTTTGTTGAACTTTTGCGCAAGTTTGTCGCAAGTTTCCGTTTCCTGGTGGCAGGCCATGACAAAGTGCTGCACATTAAGCTGTAGATTTTTCATTTTTCTTCGCCCTATCTATCGCTTACGCTTCTGCTTCTGCTTCTGCTTACGCTTCTGCCTCTGCCTCTGCCCTTTTTTTTTCGTTGTCTCGCATGCCCTGTTTTTCTTATCACTGCCGCCCCAGCCAAAGACAAACGCAAACGCAAACGCGAAGAGCGCAAAAGTTTAAATTAATGACACTCGACTATTAGCAAAATTAAAAAGTCCCAAGATTATGTCTGCAAACTTGGAAATGCGGTCAGGGGCGACAGAGATGGATCCCTGTCTCTCGTTGAGTTTTCTTCGCCACTTCTCCACAGTCTCCTCTCTTCACACTCGCCCTCTCTCTCTCTCTCTCTCTCTCTGTGTCACTCGAATATTGCTTTTCGCTTCTCCCGGGCAGGAATCAGGGCAATTTCAGTTGACAGCCCCTCAATGTAGGCAACAGGCTTGTAAATTGCCTATGACGCAGTAACTGAAAATCGAGAGAGATAGAGTGGTGGAGAGGGGGAGGGGCAGCAGCTGTTGCAAGGACAAACTTTCACCAATTCTGGGCCAACATTGAAATGCACTTTGAAAAGCAGGAAACAGCCCTAAACTTGCATCCAAGATGGCTGCCAGGCGAGTTGCAGCCACAGCTTAAAGTTGCAACCGCATTTGTTAGCGGCAGGCAGGCAGGCGGGCAGGCAGGCAGGCGGGCAGGCAGGCGGGCAGAGAGACGCAAGCAGAGCAGTGGCTGCTGGGGGTTCTGGTGGAAGGAAGAGATATATTTATTAATAAAACATTGAGGATAAACCACATTTATTTCTTCCTGTCTTCCGTGCACTGCCGTCTGCCGTTGGCGTTGGCATTGGCCCGGCCCTTGTGAAATTAGTTAATAAATAACGCGGTCAAGTTGATTTGTGTGTTGCCATTAAGCGAAAATTAATTAGAAATTATAGCCAGTGTCTGCGAGGCAGCAGCACGGTGGGCGTCCGAGAGTGTTAGAGTGGCAGCGCAGGGGAAGCTACGGGAAAGTAGTGGAAAGTGGAAATTCATGTCAGTGGCAGTGGCAGAGACAGTGGCAGAGCACAGATGCACAGGTGTGGCAAAGTAATTGACAATTTTTTGCATTTCACTCGCTATACGCGACACAAACAGGTCCTGAGCACTCACCCGCCGGATGGACGGAAGAACGAACACTCGACTCGACACGACGCGACTCATCTACTCCGCATCGCTGTTTGGCAGCTGGTAATTGAATTACGGCAGCCAGTAGCTGTGGCGCAGCAGCACGGGCAATAATTAAAAGCGGTCCGCCAATAATCAATTGCCCCAGCCCAGCCCAGCACCAGGCCAGGCACTCCACTCAGCTGGAGGCAGGTGGGAGGGACAGTCTCGGCAAAAGAGCAACAAGCAGGGGGATAGAAAGAGTCAGGAGGTGGCTGAGGAGGGAACACTGAAGTACTCGTAATAGAAATAAATTGGCGCCGCACGCAGTTCGATGGCGACACCGAGGCAGACACAGGGACAGGAACAGGGACAGGGACATGGAAGAGCAACACTTTGGACATTGTCTTGCTGTTCGACAGTCAAGTGGGCACTTGAGCTAGTCCTTCTTTATAATAGAGCGGGAAACAGAGACACAGAGAGAGAGAGAGACAGATAGTGGGGAGGGTGAGGCCTTGCGTGTGGCAGGCAAACTCATGAATTTCCAAGTGGAAAACGAAGCCAGTTGCCAGGCAGGCAGGCAGGCAGGCGGCTGACTCTGCGCTGTTGCATGCCCCATTTTGGCGCACCTAATTAAATCTAACTTTATTAGCGCTCTCAGAAGCCAAGTGCCTGACACTTATTCAACGCCTGACAGGTGGTTCCGCCCCACCCCACCCCACACACAAACCCACCATCCACCTATCATCCCCCTGTATGCACAATCATAGAGAGCTTTTGCATGGTATTTATATGGCACCCCCCCCACCGCTCCACCACCACACTACCAAGCGTTGGTTAAATCTAGATCTTAGATATATATTTGTGGAATGTTGTTTGAATTTGTATTTGAACTTAGAGTTGAATTGCCAATGAAACCACCACCACCACCAATCCACCACCAATCCACCACCCACTCCTCACTGTTTATGTGATTTCTATGTGTGTGTGTGTGTGTGTCCCCCTGCTCTTTAGTGGAATTAAATTAATAGAAACCAAAAATGTTATTAATGGAGAAATTGCAATTAATTTTACTCTCCGCTCTGCTCACATTTCTCCTGCTCTCTCCCCCATCTCTCTCTCTCTTTATCTCTCTCTCTCTCTCTCTCTCTCTCTGTATATGTCTCTTTGTCTCCATAAATCATTGGGAAACCAAATTGCAAATTAATCAAAAACTGTGCAACAATAAACCCACAATCAACGTCCCATCGATTGGGCTGGACAACGTGCAGCTGATTCGGCGACGTCCAAGTCAACGGCAAGGGCAACGCCCAGCCTGAGGCGCGACGCTGCCATCGATGCCGAAGGGACAGATGTGGCAGATGACTATGACTATGACAATGACAGTGGCCTCCACATCGATGTCAATAGGGATGCTGATGATGATGAACGATGGCCCAATGCCCGGCCACAGGCTCCGGCGCCCCCAAGCACTAGCACAAGCACAAGCATTCGCAGTCGCAGTCGCACTCATGCACCCGCCGCCACGACCAGTGACAGGCCGCAGACCCAGACCAGAACAACAATAGCAGTTCGTCCGAACAGCAACATCTGCACCAGCAGCAACAGCAGCAGCAGCAACAACAGAACTACAACTACAACTACAACTGCAACTTCTCATAGATTAGCGCCGAGAGGCAGCTTTCCGGAGATCATGCAGCCACGTCTATCCCTCAATGGGTTGCTGAACCCCTCGCTGATGCCCTCGCCCCGGCCGCTGTACCGGGACCACAGCTCGAGGTCGATCAATCCGCTGACCGCCTACGAGCAGCAGATGGCCGAGCTCGATGGCAGCTTCTATGCCAGCAATGCGGCATATCTGGGTGCCGGGATGGGCGGCAGTGCTGGCGGTGCCACAACCTGCACGAATCTGACGGTGGGCGGCGGTTCGAGTGGCGCCCCAGGTGGTGGCGGCTCACACAGTGTTGGTGGGATCCACAGTGGTGGTGGTGGTGGTGGTGGTGGTGGCGGTGGCGGTGGCTGTGGTGGTGCCGCCATACACACAACCGAACTCTCAATTACGCCTACAATGGCCGCCGATGAGCAGTTCATCGATCTGGGGAGCCTGCGTCGCTTCTCGATCGATCGCCAGAGCTTTCTCGGTAAGGCTCTCCCTCCCCCAGCCCCCCTCTCTCTTACTCTCTCTCTCTCTCTTGAAGTCCTCTGTAACCGTTTGTGTGTCCCTGGTCCTGCCCATCCTGCTGATCGATTATCCTGTTCGTGAATAATCCAAGCTACTCCTTTTCCTCCCCCGCGGCAGATCTAGGACCAAAGTTTGGCATGTCCCAGCCGAAATTCGGCCAGAGCGTCTCGCAACAAGGTTTCTTCACGTCGCACGACAGCCTGGCCACACCATGCGCCTCCCGAGCCTCCAACTCGCAGATGGCCACCGTAAGCACTGCCTCCGAAATGGATCTACTGCACAACAAGCAACGCAACAAGTCGCGCGGCCGACTGAAAACAACAACCAGCGGCGACCAGCCGCTCCTCAGTGGCACCGGCACCTGGAACCGATCGACGGGCCGCGGCTCACAGGATAACACCCTCGGGGGCGGTGGCGTCACACACATACCCATGGGAGGGCACAATCAGTATGGTGGCAACTACTGCAACGGCACAGATCGGTAAGTATGCAATGGATACCCTTGCTGCTCCTTGCTGATCCTTGCTGATCCTTGCTCATCCTCTCTATGCCACAGCTATCCACGTTCACGATCGCAGCACCAGCAGCCGCACCACAATGTTGCCCCACAGCCGCATCGCTACCAGCTGCAGCATTCTGTGTCGCACCATCTGCACCCACACGGAGCCTCCTCACAGGGTGGGGATGGTCAGGGTGGACACGGCGGCCATCCACATCATGGACACCATGGAGGAGGCGGCGGCGGGCCACATGGCGGCGGTGGGGCACATGGAGGCCAGCCGCACCACAAGAAGCCGCACCGCACCGCCTCGCAGCGAATTAGAGCGGCCACGGCGGCCCGTAAGCTCCACTTTGTGTTCGATCCGGCGGGGCGGCTGTGCTACTACTGGTCCATGGTGGTGTCCATGGCCTTTCTGTACAACTTCTGGGTGATAATCTACCGCTTCGCCTTCCAGGAGATCAATCGGCGCACGATTGCGATCTGGTTCTGTCTCGACTACCTGTCGGACTTCCTCTATCTGATCGACATCTTCTTCCACTTTCGGACCGGCTATCTGGAGGACGGGGTGCTCCAGACGGACGCCATCAAGCTGCGCACCCACTACATGAACTCGACGATATTCTACATCGACTGCCTGTGCCTGCTGCCGCTGGACTTTCTTTATCTGTCCATTGGCTTCAATTCGATTCTGCGCAGCTTCCGGCTGGTCAAGATCTACCGCTTCTGGGCGTTCATGGACCGCACCGAGCGGCACACCAACTACCCGAACCTCTTCCGCTCAACGGCCCTCATCCACTATCTGCTTGTGATATTCCACTGGAACGGCTGTCTCTACCACATCATCCACAAGAACAACGGCTTCGGGTCCCGCAACTGGGTCTACCACGACTCCGAGTCGGCGGACGTGGTGAAGCAGTATCTGCAGAGCTACTACTGGTGCACCCTGGCCCTCACCACCATCGGGGACCTGCCCAAGCCGCGCTCCAAGGGCGAGTATGTGTTTGTGATATTGCAGCTGCTATTTGGCCTGATGCTCTTCGCCACTGTCCTTGGCCATGTGGCGAACATTGTGACGTCTGTGAGTGCAGCCCGCAAGGAGTTTCAAGGTGAGTCGCCCAGTCGCCCAGTCGCTCAGGCATCCTACTATTGCGGACAGGGTACAGACTGACTAAATGGGAATTCCATTGATACTATATTTTCACAAAGGACTTGACCTGAATTCCAAACATTATTACAGCAAGCTAATCTTCTGGCACAAAAGCGGCGTGCTAGGGGATAATAAAATGGGGGCGGGATGTTGCTGGATACCTGAAAGTATTTTCTGCTGGCATGTCACACAGGAAACCATTTCATAAATTCCAATTCCTGACAACATGGACAGTGAGGACTTGTTGCGTGGGAGGCTTCCGGAATGGTCACCAAATGGGGTACGACTGTGGATGCAGACAAAGGAGAAAGTAGAAAGTAGAAGGGAGAAAGGAGCGAGAAGCTTTTCTTCAACCCTTCAGCAACAATGGGCGGTGAAAAATGTGCCATCTTGGCACGAAATTGTTTGCAAAATATGGAAATCTGTTGGCACTGCTGCTGCCATAGCAATGTAATGTGCATTGTGGCATAGTCCAGCACTAAAGGAAGGGCGTGGAGTGGAGTGGCATGGCATGGCATGGAGGACTGGACTGGACTCCTCAAGCTCAAGGCATCTCTTGTAGGCGCAGTTGGGCGTGCGGCCGGCCATTAGCTAAATGAACTCGTTTACTCGGCAGGGGCCATAAATAACTGGACGAAATGCAAGAGCAATCCAAGTCAGCTAAGTGGAAAATGCCAAGAGAAAGGCAAAGAGAGGGCGAGAGAGATGGAGAGAGACTCGCTGGAGGAGGAGCGAGCGAGCAAGAGGCCCAGCAAGCGGATGATGCTGTGGCCAGAGTGGACGGAGGTGGAGCTGTGGGAGGGGCAGTGGGGAGGAGCTGCTTGCCTGCTTGCTAGCTTGCTTTTCTTGCTTTCATTAAGAGCAACGTCAGCTGGAAAATATTAAAGCCACTCACGGCGACAATGAGACATACAAAGGGGATGCTAGATGAGAGATGCTGGGCGAGAGGGTGACGAGAGGAGAGGCGGAATTGGGGCAAACAAAGCACAATTGATGCCGGTGGGCGTGGCACCTTGATTTCATACGCCCACCTAACAGCATCTCTCTCTCGCCCTCTGTATCTTTCTCTTTCTGTTGTTTTTGTAGCTGTTTTCCGACTGCTGGACTCCCATCTTAGCCCTGGCTGAAGCCGTCTCACTGCTGCAGCCGCCAACTGGCATCTCACTTGTTTATACAACACTTTGCATGTGTGTGTGTTTGTGTGTCCACTCGGACAGGGCGAGAGAGAGAGAGAGAGCGAGAGAGAGCCCATGTCCATGACAAAGTCAGCAAGCAAAGCTCTGGCGGCTTAATGGTCGAAACGTGCTGCTGAATTAATTTCTGGCTTTATGCTCCCTCCGCTTTTTTCCCCGTTTCCGTTCGTTCACTTCTTCTGCCTCACTTCACACTTCGCTTTGCTGGTTTCCCCCGCTTCCCCCACTCTTCTGGTTTGCCTGCATATTTGTGCGGGTCAAATTTTGCACTTTTTTATTGCGAATTTGGAATCACATGTGGAGCTGGGACTGGGGGGCTGGGGCTACGCATAAAGTTTATGAAATTGCTCAAAATGTATGCGGCCATGGGGTGGGGTCACAATCGAGTTCATCGACGGCTGCCGTGACAGGACACCACAGACAGGATGTGAATAACATGGTGCTGCACTTCCTTGGAGCGGAGGGAGCACTACGCCTTCATAGATTCTCCTGAGTGATTCGTCGTAGCTGTTTGCAAGAAATACAATGTATTCAGTAGAAATTTGTGGAATAAAAAGCATGGACACATAATCCGACAATCAACTCAACTCCAGTCCACTCAACTGAACTGAACTCGAGGCAAACTGTGGTCTGGTGTGGTCTGGTCTGGTCTCTGGACTCGATTGCTAATAAAACACTTCGGAGGAGCTGAGGCAGCAATTGTTGTTAGGTTACATTCGCAAACTTTGCCGGAAACTTAATGCATCATGTCGCAGACGACGAGGATCAAGATGAAGATGATGATGATGCTGATGGGATGCTGATGGGAGGAAGCATGGCATGCAACGTTTCGATAAACCATCCATCAATTTGTCAATTCAGCGGTTTTCCTTGAGTGGCCACCAGCCACCCACCCAGCCAGCCAGCCGAAGGAGGTAAATGATGACGAGAATGATGATGGGCGATGGGCGATGGGCAATAGTTGGCTGGAGTGGCTGCCATAAAAAGAAATCAACTACACATGGAATATCCTGTCGATGCACTCTACCAAAAACGAACTCTTAGATCAGGTAAACCCTAATGAAATCCAATGACTTGTCAAGGGTTTAACAAGGCTTGAAAGTGGGTTTTGGGGGCGACAGGACAACATGTCTGATTTATTTCTCTGCAAATACTTTGAGCCGCTCTGATGGGCCTCGAAATGCTCTTGTCGCCCTCCTCCCCGCATACACATGACGAATGATTAATGAGTTACATTTCACTTTGGTGGCGGATCTAAAGTTTAAACTTTAACCTGGCCCGAGACACTCACGCTGCCTCTCGCTTCCCTTCCAGCCATCACGCTAGTCATGGCCTAGACGGGGGAGGATTTGACTTTGCTCCCAGGGTCTCTTTTGCTACATTAGCCCATCATGCAGATCCAAGCAGCCAACAACTTAAAGGAGGGAGACGTACGCCTCCACTCTGCTCCACTCTGCTCTGCTCTGCTCGGCTCTTCCCTTTCCTGTTTCCTGCTACCTCATGCTACTGCTGTGCAGCAGACTGGTAACGGGGGACGGAGGCATGCAAATTGATTTTCAAATAGTTGGTCTGCCTTTTTAAATTTGATTGACGTTATTACATTACATAACATCACACAAGCCGAGCAACAGCAACACCCACACCCACACTCACACTCACACCACACCAGAACAGAACAGAGAGGAAAGAGAGGCTGAAGCATCTGGCTTAAGTTATTCATCCATTTAGCTTCGCTTAGGGCGGGAGTAGGCCAGGGGGCAGTGGAAAATACGCAAGAGGCAGTGGGAGTGGGAGAGGTGAAAAGGAAGTCGGAGATTGGGAACATAGGAAGGAGGAGAGGGGCAACAACAAGTGGAAAACTGTCATTATATTTGAGTTATTGATGGTTCTTTTTTATGCAAAATCATTTTGCAACAATGTTGCTGCTGCTGCTGCTGCTGCTGCTGACACACACACTGGGCCGCTGAGTGGCACCTTCTTTGCCTGTCAGCCTCCCCCCATTACACATATGTACATACATACACATACACTCACACACACACTGTTACATTCACGCTTGGTTAAACGCATGGCTCTGTGGCTTGTTAACGTTGACAAGCGCAAAAGTTTGCCGTTCGCCAAACGCTAGCGACAATCGACAAGCATACATACACACACACACGCACACACACACACACTGGCATATAAAGAAAGGGCCACACAGCGGTACAGAAGGACCTGGCCATTCAGGACACGGGCACTGTCGCGCTGTGTATGCGATTTCCATCATGTTTTGGCAACAATCCAAACGAGACGCGACGCAACGCAACGTTTCAAAAACTGGCATTTAAAATTATGTAAATTCATCCTCTCCATCTTGCTGCCAGCCTCCCCCTGCCTCCCCGCGCCTCTCCCTCGTTCCTGTGTCCATTATGTAATTGTTACTGTAAATAGTTTCCATGGAATTTCCCCCCGTCAGCAGAGCTGTCATCGGATTCTGATTGATGTGTGCGGACACTTTTCGTGCAGCAGCTTACACATACATATATATATTTTCCCTCTTGATTTGCATGCATTTATTTATGCCTGCTGTGGATTTAGTGTGTACACATTTAAGTATTTATTTCCCTTCTATAGCCCCACTTTGGAGCGTGTCTCTGCCTCTCATTTTTACAGCCATAATCCAAAGAGCAATTTCCTTCCGTTTGGAATCTCTGTGCCCATGCGAAGAGGGGTATCTTTCAATCTTATACTTACGGACTGTACGGACATATTTATGGAGCCAACTAACTGGTCAGCGCTCAGTCTTCATTTGCAATTAACGTCCAGATGGCCTCGCCTGATGCCGTGGCTGGGGCTTGGCTTTTGACCTCGCAATTAAAACAATTTACGCGCTCAATTTAAGCCAACACAAACAAAACCCACACACACCCACACACCACACAGGCACACAGAAACACACAAGAAGATGCAAGCGCTGGAGCGGAGATGGAGCTGGGGAGTGCACCCTGGTGTTGGGATGCTGCTGCTACTGCTGCTGCTACTTCTGGTGCCAGGATGAGATTTGCAGTGCCTTTGCCAGCTATTTTTGACTTGCTAAACGTGCAACGTGCAAGTAATACTATAACGGACAAAGTGTTGCTGTTTGCTGTGGCCCTCGTCCTTGTTTTGGCAGCTGCCGCTGCCCCACAATGCTCGCTGGCTGGCTGGCTGCCTGGCTGGGGCGAGGTTGCACTAAAAATAGAAGCGAGGCAAACGAACTGAGTCAAGAACGCGGGGCACACATTTGGCATTGGATTGGCCGCGCACCCGGGGATATTCTCTCCGCGGTGGGGGTTATTGAGAGGCTGAGTACGGAAGGATTGCTTTTGGACCGAACGAGTTCATGAGTGCACCACCAGGAGATTCCATTTACACTTGGCAGCATGCAGCTCGAATGGAGACGGCTTTGTTATTCGTTCACCGGAGGGTGTCTGCCAGTGCGACTTATTTCGACTCATACCTCTTTCTTTGCTGCTTTTGCCTTTTACCTTTTACCTATTACCTCTTTCTTCCTGCATTTTGGCCAGCTCAAAGTCGAGCAGCCGGACACTGTGAAAGGAGTGGCTCTGGCAGCAGCAGCAGCAGCAGCAACCAAGCAGCCTCAGTGTGGGTAAAGCGACGTCCATTATCCACTTTAAGTTGCCCGCCCGTGCTGCTGCGTGCGAATGTCTGTGTGTGTGTGTGTGCCCCACTGTGTGTGTGTGTGTTTTCAGCTTGGGTTGTGTTTGTTGTTCGTTTCGCTGTTTGCTTTTGCTTGCCACAGCAATGTCCAACGGGGAGGCTGTGTGTGTGTGTGTGTGTTTGTCTCTGTGTTGGCTTGTGTTTGCTTCTGGTTATGCCCCCCAGCTGTAACCCTGTATGACTGTATGTGTGTGTCTGTGTCTGTGTGTGTGTGTGTGTGTGTGTGTGTTTGTGGGTTTGCGGATTCCAATCAATATCGTAGACGCAATCGCCGCTGGTGGCCGCCGCTCTTGCCCATTAAGCTGCATGTACACCAACTTGCTGTCGTATTTTTAGAACACGCCGCCAGTGGTTATTCTTGTTCTTGTTGCTGCTCCTGCTGCTGCTGCTGCTGCTGCTGCTGCGTGCTGCGGCATATAGCCGCTCTTTAAGGGCCAGAGCTTTCCATTATCCTTGAATAGCGAATATGCCAAGGATTTGTGCTGAAACTGGCACTGCTGTTCGTTCCGCTGCCTCCTGCTTTTGCCACCGCCACTGCCATTCCTTTTCGTTGATGATGCAGCTGGCATGCGCATTGTTATTGCTGGATGACTGGCGAGGTGGTGCACGGCGGGCTGTTGGCATTTATTTTTAGTTACCGCCCGAATAAATCCAACCAGCACTTCGCGGCCATTGTTTGCCTGCCTCTTCAGGCTGCGTCACGAGAGGAGGTGAGAAAATCACCCACAGAATCAGCAGCAGCTGCAGCTGCTGCTGCGGTAAATGCATAATTAAGCAGGCCGCAACTCAGAAAAGGAATGCCTCTTAAAGAATGCCTCATCCAGCGCAGTGCCGCAGTGGATGCCACAGAATTGTGTCAAGTGGAGAGACAGTGGCGATGCTGGGCGTCCAAAACAGGACTCTTCCCACACACCTCGGCTGATAATCGCCGACGATTCTCTCGATTCCTTGTCACTTCATTGCTGGCATCGTCGTTGTCGCCTTTTGGCTTCCTTTGTTCTCGCCGGGAAGACAACTTCCTGCTCTGCCATAACACATCACCCAAGGCTCTTAAGTGGTTTCTAGTTAGTTTGCAATTTTTGCCTCTGCCTCTGCCACTGCCACTCCCACTCCCTCGTATACCCGCACTTATGTAGGTTCCATTCAGAGCTCGGCACGGGGTTCTTTTTTCTGTTTTTTCCCATGCATGCTGCATGCTGCATGTGCGGGTGCGGGTGCGCTTTATGAAAAGGTCTGGCAGGAAGAGAAAGTTTTTGTCACGCATATTTACTGTTTGTGTGCGATCTCCTTTCGCTCCAGCTGCCCCCCAACAGAAACTTGCGGCACTTTGTTGTCAGACAATGGCATGAACTTTTGCACCGCACCCAGACTTCTTCTTCATTTTCTGTTGTGTGACTGGAGCCACCCACAATTGTTCCCAGGGCTCAGTTTTTGCCAACAGTTGATCCCTGGGTGGCAATTGTTCCCGTCCCCATTAGCGGAGAGACAAAAGTCGAGTCAAACAGCAAATGTAATTATTGGTAACTATTCGTTCAAGTTTTCTATGGTGACTTTTCCTGCTGAAGGTGACTCAGCCACCGAAAGCGCCAGTGCCACTGCCACTGCCACTGGTGCCGCACAAATCGCAACAGAAGCAGATCATAGTTCGCTGTGGGCAACAGCAGGGGAAGCAGAGCATAAAATGAAAAATAAATAAGAAATAAGCAAAATGTGAAGCCAAATGCAGTTTGCCATCATGTCTGCCGCCCATCCAGGCCCATCCTTGGACTCCACCTCTGCCGCAAGGCAGCCGCATGGCAGCAGCATCCTCTTTTGGCCCCAAACGCAGCCAAGTGACTTGAGGGCAAAAAATGGCAAATTAAATTTTGCTCGGAAAATGCAACGAAATGGAAAGCGGAGAGGGAAAAGCAGAAGCAGAAGCATGAACGAAACGAAACGAAACGAAGCTGAAAGAAACAGGATAAGCTCTGTTCAGCCACAGAGCAAGCGAAGGAATTAAAGCTTGAGTAATTTCTAAAAAAACACCAAAAAGGAAGATACATCCAGTCATCGAGAAAGAGCAGACAGACACACAGACAAATACAGGAAAAGCAAGGCAGACAGAAGTTGGATATATGACACAAAGGTATAGACGGACAATCAGAGAGAGAAAGAGAGAGAGAGAGAAAGAATTTATTGAAGGCAAACCGCAATTACCGTGGCAACCTGAAAAACATCCAACACCCAAGGACCCGGAAAAACACAAACCACAAGAAACCACACAGAACTCTCTCCTCTCCTCTTCTCTTCTCTCCTCTCCATTCTGCATTCTCCATTCTCCATTCACTTGTTTGTTTTTCCCGTCTGCCATGGAATATGCAATTAATATTTAGATTGATTTTCAATTGTTACAAAAATAAAACCCGGTAAAATCCAGCGTCAACCAGAACGTGCTCTGTGGCATCAGGGTTGGGACTGGGACTGGACTGGTGCTGGGTCTGGGTCTGGGTATGGAATGGGAGTGCCACAAGGGGGCGGCAACATGAGCACAGCTATGCGCCATTGAATGCTGCTCCATTCAAGCTGTTCCGCAATAAAAAATTGCTGTAATTTAGCATGGGTCTCGGTATCAATGCAACAGGGGAGCGAACAGGAGGTAAGGGATGGGCGGATGGATCGTGCATACGTGTGTGGGCGCCATTCGCAACGTTATCCATATCCGATTTGTGTAATGGATAACAAGAGGCAGTCACTGCCATTCAATAATCTTTCACTTTGCCAATGGCTGGCTCGGAAAAACTATTTTTAACTGAAGATGGAAATATTTGCCACATGGAATGTTGTATGGGATTCAAGAAGAGAACTGCCTCGGAGATACCGAATGACTGGCAAAGGCATTCATAATAAAATAAAATAAAATAAAATAGCATTTAAAATAAAGTGAAAATTGTCTCCTGGCTATTCTTTCTTAATTTCGTTTGGGCAGCGTAGGAAATTCGAGTTGGACAACAAAAGACATTTGACAATTGGGGGAAATGACAAATGACCAACTGAGATTGGATGTGCCTGATTGGAGCAGGGTGGGGGGGGGGGGACTGATTGCATTATAGATGATGTGATGTCGTTGTTCGAGCAGCCACCCTCCCAGTTCGAGGAGACATCAGCCTGGTTACTGGGTATTTATTTGTATTCAATCTGTTTGGTTTGCTTGTTTGTCAGTTGGTTTTCAAATGTTTGCACGAGCAAACACAAAAGACGCAGCACTCACTCTCGCTCTCGCTCTCACTCCTGCCACTTGCTACCTGCCAATTTCCCCCACGCAGTCCCATCTCAACTCACAGTTTGCAGTGTCACAGTCACTGCGACTTCCACTGCCACTGCCACTCCCCTTTGGCAACCGCCGACAAATTGTGTCAATATTTGTGGGCACTGACGAGCCAAGAGATTTAATTTCCTCTTATCGACTCCGATGACTAGCAGCTGGCAAGCCACACGGCCGGGTATGGGTGCGGGGAGGGGGCAAACTAGAAACAAAAGCCAGTTAGTTCTTTCCCATCAATATTGCTCAAACAGAATGGGATGCTCTTTAAGTTGGGTCGCTCACATGGAATGCCGCAATACCGTAGATACGTAGACACGAGTAGGAGTCCGAGTACGAGTACAAGTACAAGTATGACCAATCAATCCCTTTGCACGTGTTGTCCGTGCAGTGCAGGACAACCACATCTGGCAGGACGAAGGCTCCTGCTTCTTCCACCGGGGCGTATGAGTAATCAATATTAAGTGTGCGCCCGCCCGACTGCCCAGGAAGAGCTTATATTCAGCGATGTCTGCGGAACAGCTAAAAGCCTTATATCACAAATTTATGCAGACCAGCTTGATTGACCGATTAGACCGATTAGAGAGTAAATCCCCTCCATGTAACCTGGGCCATGGGCCAGATCGAAGCAATTTATGCATTATGGCCCAGCATTTAGTTGAGCAAAGCAACGGGCCACTACATCCCATGGTGCGGGTGCAGGTGCGGGACAGAGCAGCCGACCAATTTCCACACACTTTGTATGCCAGTCGCGTATCAATATCCAGGGAGAATCCTCTGCAAATACAAAATAAGACTGACATATCTGGATTTTCTTCCTGGGATGTTCTTCCCGTTTAGCCAAGCTGGACGGCGTCAAGACGTATATGCGGATGCGACGTGTGCCGAATCATCTGCAGGTGAAGGTCATCAAATGGTTCGATTACCTGTGGCTCACGCAAAAGTGCTCGGACGAGGAGCGCGCCGTTTCCTGTCTTCCTGATAAATTAAAGGCAAGTAAAGGGTCGCTCTGTACAGCAACGCGAATCGTCGATTACATTAACCAAATGTCAATCTGTATCTTTCAGGCTGAAATAGCAATTAACGTCCATTTAGATACACTTAAGCGGGTCGAGATTTTTCAAAATACCGAAGCTGGTTTCCTCTGCGAGTTGGTGCTGCGTCTGCGGCCCGTGCTCTTCTCGCCCGGCGACTACATCTGCAGGAAGGGTACATATATACATATACATACATTATACATACATATATAATACATATATTTTTTTCCATTGCCAATTGGCAGGCGAGGTGGGCAAGGAGATGTACATTGTGAATCGTGGACGATTGCAGGTTGTGGCCGACAATGGAAAGACGGTGATGGCCTCACTGAAGGCTGGTTCCTATTTTGGCGAGATTAGTATACTCAATATGGGCACGGCAGGTAAAGAACTTGGTAAATATCCCGTTTTAGTGCGACAGGCGGAACAATAACGATAACGTAACTACAACAACCAACCCTGAACCAACCAACCAACCAACCAACCAATCTAGCAATATTTCAATCTCAGAAAATATTCCAAAATACTCAACCCGTATTGCTTGTTATCATCACCACCCCCAGAACACAGACACAGAAACAGACATTCTACTCTCTCTCTTACAAATATATACATAGCATATAATATACATATGTGTATGTCTATGTGTGCGGAATGTCTATCTGTCTATGAGTATTTTTAATCTAAGTGTTAGCCCCCCCAGAGATACGAGTATATACATAGATATAGTACCATATACATATTGATTCTACGTTGCTTCCTCCCACTGCACCTGCAATCATATAGAAGAGCACTTATGAGCAATTTAAATCATTGTTTAATTCCTCTACCTTTAATTTTTATAAAAAAAAGCTTTTTAATTTGTTTTTATTTGTTCGTAAATTGTATGAATGTTTTTTAATTTTTTTTGTTTTAAGCCGAAAAGTATATTACGCTCCAATTCTGACTGTCTGGCCCACACACACACACACACCTGATACACACACACAGACACAGATACTCTCCCAACCGTATATGTATATGGTTGCAAAATTAATGAATGTCAAATGCAATTATTGCACCTGCATGCTCTCTCACATGAAAATACATTTTTATTGTTGGTGCGTTTTTTGTGTGCAAACTACGAGTATGAGTTTGAGTATAAAAATAGCCGCAACAATTGTGGCTGTGATGCACAAAAAACCAATTTGCTGAACTTAATGCCGCTTTAATTTCATGTAATAGTCAGCCAGTGCCAGCTGGCAGTCAAGTGTGAACACAAATGGCTGCAGGGAAGCAGGCAGCACCTGCTGCTCTCTCTCTCTCCTCCTTCACACAATGTCATAATTAACAATATGTACGTACGTGTGTGTATGTGTGTGTGTATGTGTGCGCTGAAGAGTTATGCAACTGCAAGTGGAAGGGGAAGATATCTTTGCGTTGCATACTTGAAGGCGTCACCAAAGCCGCTCCTTGCCAACTAATTGAGTTTCGGCTCTCGAGTTGGCAACTTAATTTTCAAACAAAAGTTAAACTTGCCCAAAAGTTTTCACCTCCTCACCCCGTAACCCCTTCATACACCTGCAGCAATTAGAGACTAAAAATCGAATTGTTGAAAGTTCTTTGTGTTTCTGCATGATTTAAGCATCATTCGGGTTCAATCAAGGGTCACGTCACAATTACCCTGGAGCAATTTAAATTTGAATTTCATTATTTCTTCCACTATAGTTAGACCCTCTATATACGTATGTACATATCTATCTATCTGTATATGTATCTTTCTCTATCTCTATCTGTGTCTATATATGGTATATCTCTGTCTCTCTCTCTCTCTCCATTATCTCTGAGTCTATGTTGATGTTGTTGTATTGCTTTGCCTACTCGTAATTTAAACGTTTCTCTACACGTAATTGCATTGAGATTTGTGTAATTAAAATTAAGTATACGACCCCTTGACACAAGCAAATATTCACATTCGATTCTTCTTGTTGGGCAGTCCAGATGCGGCACTTGAATTGCATGTGTTTATTTGTGGGCCATTTTGGGGGCCATTTGGGGAGAGTAGCCATCAATTTTAATCAAAACAACCCCATAGATAAAATATTGCCTGGTTTTCCCTTCTCCACTTGTAATTCTCTCCCGAAACCCCCCATCGAACACTCAAGAACACGCCACATCCTCCGTGTGGCATGCAATTTTAATGTCCTTCTGTGATGCGATGCGATGCCAGTTGTCAACAAGCAGAATCGAACGACAGACACAGACACACTGACACAGCGCGTCATGGAAATTCCCCGTTGCAAGACCATTAAACTTTTCTCTTTGCGTTGGCAAACATTTGCTTTACCAACTCTCCCGATTAAAAAAAAAATAAAAAAAAAACACAAACAAACAAAAACAGGCAACAGACGCACAGCCAGCGTACGGTCCGTGGGCTACAGCGACCTGTTCGTGCTGAGCAAGAAGGACATGTGGGACGTGCTGAAGGAGTATCCGGCGGCGCGTGTACGTCTGGAGTCGATAGCCGTCAAGCGCTTGGAGAAATACAAGAAGGCGCCCCTAGAAAAAGGTATCCAGGCACTTGTCTACCCACTTATTTACCCTCATCCTTGGCCGCTCTGCCTTTTATCCCCTTACCCCCATCCATGCTTCATTCCTCATTCCCCCCCCTCCGATACACCCGAACAAAAACACCACTCGAAATTCAGAGATACGAATACGATTGCCCCAGAATAACACGATTCGATTGTTTTGCCTTCCGTTCCATCTTTCCTTTCCTTTCATTTCGATTCTTTCCGTTTGGTGGATGATTTTTGTTATAAAACACAGTCAAATACTTTAATGTAGTTGCCATGGGCCGGTGCCAGTCGACGCCGGGTCTGGTCGAGAGCTGTGGCCGCACCTCGCTCGAGGAGATGTGGCTGCCACCAGCCCCAACGCCACCAGCCCCACTGGCCCCGCTGATGCATCACCACCTGGCACACCAGCAGCATCATCCGCAGCAGCACCAGCCGCTACATCAGCACCAGCAGCAGTCGACGCAGCAATCCTCGCAACAGCACGGGTACAGGTGAGCCTCAGCTGGTTTACCCTCCCACATACTCACTCAGTTATTTTCTTCCCCCAAAGTCCTCGCAGCTATGCGGACCGTCTGGTGCGGGCCACGGACTCGCCCAGATCGGTCAGCCCCAGTGCCCACGGCTCCGAGGAGCGTCCGCGCAGTCGGGCCGCCTCACATCACTCGATTCGACCCCAGTCGCAGCCCAGCCACTCGGGTAAGGCGATGAAATCACGACACAAAAGCCTGCATAAGTCATCAACAATCTGTGCCCCTCTCATAGGTCACATCTGCGACTCTAGCTCGCAGCTGGAGTGCTACGGAGCGGGCGTGGGCGCTGTTGGTGGGGGCACAACCCCGCTATTGGGCTCCCACGAGGCTCTCGAGGACGAGATCAAGCGGCTGAGAGAACGACTGCATACGGTGGAGTCGGAGAACCAGGCTCTGAACACGAAACTCTCGCAACAGCAGTGGGATCTAGAGAATCGCCTTGCCGAGATCGAAATGCAGATCTGTGGAGTGTCGTCCACGTCCAGCGTGGATCCCGAGAACGAGACGGAGGAGCTGGAGCGGAATCGAGAGAGTATCATATAACACGGGAGCGCGCTGCCCCATCAGCCGATCGGTATGGTGTACATATCATGTTCCTCATGACTCCATGATCATCATCGATCATCTGACAACCGAAAACAACATCAATCAAAACGGCAATCTGGCGAGGAGCGAGCGGAGCAGAATGGCTGGATTTTGAGATCGCCATCACCCTCATAAAGCATCTCTCTCTCTCTTTATCTATCTCTCTATCTATCTGTTGTGTATGTTTCTCCATCACTCTCTCTGTGTTATGTATCTATGTTTGTGTGCATGCGGTCGAAACACCCCATTGCCGAATCATTTTACTAACCAGAAAACCCCAAACCATAACCAGGAGCAGCAGCAGCAGCTACACAGCAGCCCCAGGAACAAGCAGTCAGGCGAGAACAGGCGGAGAAGACGGCAGTTGGGACACAGACCCATAACCAGTGCAGCTCGTTATAGGATAGATCGAAAGATCACCCAAGATGTTCAATTAAAATCTTTTATGATAAAGCGACTCACAACACCAACAAAAATAATGGCACTGCCTCGAAAATTTGTTCAGGCGCCACCACCGCCGCTACAGAAATAGCCCAACAACCCAACACCACTGGACGACTGGACGCCGAGTGTACATATGCAAGAAGGGGGGAGAAGAACTACCACAAAAGAGATCAAAAGTATCCCAAAACCTAGTCTAAGAAAATCGAGCCCCCGAGAGAGAATGGCAGATCGTAATTCGATGAATGTATTGTAATTTAAGATATCGGAAAAGCTTTACTAGATATTCCGAAAAGAACTTTTCGCAGCCCATAACTCGTTGCCCAAAAACTTACACTTTTTCCATACTAAAAACAAACCAGAAAACAGAAATCAGAAATATACTCGTATTGAGATTTATACAATATAGAAATCATTAGGCCTAGACTTTTCGCCTCTTTTAAAGGATACACTAGACAACCGAAACGGGTACCGAAACATACTCCCATTGTAAATACTTTTGCTCCAGGGCTTAACTAGATTTATTATCGCTAGATGGCATGGGAGAATATAGAATAGAGATCATTTAACAATTAACTACAAGATTACTTTAACTCATGAGTGTAACAAAATGAATAAATCTAATATATACATACATAAATCTATTGTAATATTTGCTAATTGTAATTCGAAAACAAAACAAAACTAAAAACTAACTAGATGTGTATATGGGAAACGATTTACTTTAAAATTGAAAATAATGCATAAACAATTTATGGACAAACTAAGTGAATATTTGAAAAATATTTGTACTGTACTATTGGAAAAGAACTGCCAGAGCAAACACCACACACAGAAAACAAAACAAGAACAAAACAAAAGAGAGGCAATATATAGCTAATAAACTACCAAAACCAAAATCCAAAAACAAAAACCAAAAACCCCAAAGAATGTCTCTTAGCCAGAATCAATAAGTGAACTAGTATAAACGAGTAAACACTTTTAATGCAATACTAAATTGTACTACTATGAGTATATGCTATATCTATGTAGAACATAAGAAAATTAAAGGTCTAAATGTATTTAAATTTAGTTAGCCGCCCCGAGAACCCAAAAACCCCAAAACCAAAAACAAAATACCAAATACCAAACCAAACTGAAAACCAATGCTGAAGATTGTAGTCGACACGAAAGATATTAGGATAGAGGAGAGTGAGAAGGAGTGATAGAGTGAGAGAGAGGGTTCTGTAGCAGAAAACAGAACGCAGTGTAGTCATCCCCATAATATGGGGGCCGCGATGCGATGGAAATTAGTTTAGCTGTAACTCTAGCTATACTTAGTTATATCTACCATTAGACGTGTACAAGAGAAGACCAAAGGCAGATCCGGATCGGTTCTACTTACACGGAAAACCAGAGATGGTCTCAATAAGGAAATCTAATAAATATATAGTACGAGTATAGCTATAGCTTGAATAAGATTCTTAACTTTAGTGAGTGAGCCAAGCGTTTGGATCAAGATGCGTTTGAGTATCTGGAGTCTGTTCGTGAAAGGGAAACGGAAAACGGGCATGGAAATGGGAATGGCAATGGGAATGGAATTATCGGTAGCTGAAACGGAACTCATTTCATTCTGACGGGATGGGATGATAGGCCGCCAAAAGTTGAAACTCAAAATTTTGTTAGGATTTTCTCCTTAGATTTTTGTCCATGAAGTAAACTTAATTTGGATTTTCTAGTGAGAGCAAACTACACGTAAATTCCTTTTCCATATTTTGTCAACCTAATTACATTTCGGAATATCAAATAATGGATTAATAATTAATTAATAATTAAACAATAAACATCAAATGGGGTTTCATCTAAGACGAAAAAATTATACCAATCCAAGACGGAGTTAAACGAGGGCAGAGAACGGAGTTTGAGATTCTTTAGTTAGCCAATTATTGCCAAAAATTAAATTTGAATAATGTAATTGAATTGAATTGAATTTTGATGGCTTATTAGCACGCTTATCGCAGGACAGAACAGGACCCTGCCCTGTCACGTTTGTTAGATTTATTCCCATTGATTTCTCCGCAGTTTTCTGTTAGAGCGCATATAACACATACATATACATACTATATTTATATCTATTTGTTGTTGGGAGTACTCGTGTAATACAAGGAACTACATCGATTTGGTTGTGTTGTTGATGCAAAGTGTGGGCCAGGTTTGCAGGTCTGGAGCGCGGAAGTGGCTTGTGTAATGACAATTTTTTAACTTAATTTTATGCATTGAGATCTATGAATGAAACGGAGACGTAAGAACATTTAAAGCTTTATTTTTACTATAAATTAATTAATTAATTTATAAGATTAAACAGTAAATTAAATCAGCATAGCCAAAACTCCATAGCCAAAGAAATGAATTGAGTTGAAAGTAATCTCGGATGATGCATTTTAAAAACGATCACCGATACATCAGATCAGATCGAATCAGTTTGGAGAAGGGAAGGCATGGCCCCGATTTGCAGCAGGTAAATCGAGCTTATCGTGTGAGCATTTCAAAGCCGATTACATTGCTGAACACTCTGAAATCTGAAAAGGGTAAAATGAAAAAACACAAAAACAAAAACTAAAATACAAATAAAATCAAAACAAAACAAAAACAATTCTTAAGATATGAAAACTTTTGCGTTTTTCTTAGGGTTTCGGGGAAATGCATCGAATCATCGATCGTTCGATCGATCGTGGCTGCGTGTCGTAATCAATGAGATCTGAGAAAAAGCCGCAAAATTGTTCAATTACAACAGTGGAAACCACACACTCATCGCATTGCATTGCACTCCACTGCCGATGCCTGCAATTAACGAGCTGCTTGAGTAGTCGAGTCCATTAAATGGCTCGAGAACGAACATCGAAATGCCTCGAAATACCTGGGATAGACGGGGTCCGTACCCAAACACAAACCCAAGCCCGAACCGGGCCGAGAGCCACCTGAGCGAATTGAGAAATAAGAATTGAGAGCCCAAAACAAAAGCGCTAACAAAACTGGCAAGCAAAACAAGCCAAGATCAGGCCCGAAACAATGACGTAGCGGTACGTTCCATGCCACTCCGAGCGAGCACCGAATTCCCACTTCCAATGGAAGCCAGAAAAGCTCGCGACTCGACTGGATCCACTGGAAGTAGTGGATCTTGAAGCTTGAAGCGGGCTATCGGGCTAGCGGGCTAGCGGTGGAGCTGCCAATTTTAGTCGTTGTGAGCCACTCGTGCGCGCTGGACGTGTTTGAATTTTTTATCGTTAACCCTCGCGTTTCCCCCCACCCCCACGAATCGAAGTGTAAGCAACAAGTGCCAAAAGGGAGACAAAACCAACAAAATCCGACACTATCTATACACACATATTATATACCTTTTGGGCATACATACATACATACGTACGTATGTATGTATACTCGAATGGTGTACGCGCATGCGCATATTTGTGCCGTGTTCCCTCCGACGTTTTTAATAACTTTTGATCGCTCTCCTCTACCCTTCGCGCAGTGCCGCGTCACTCACTCCCCCCGCGTCTAACGTTCATCTTAACTATATTTTTTTTATGGATCTTCATGTGTCTCGCTCTTTGCTTTGTGTTTAATTTTTAATTCTTTTTTTCGCTTAGTCCGCTTTGACTTTGCTGTTCCGTTCGCTCGAGAGACTGACTGGGGTGGGTGCCGTGTGGCGAGGCGGGCTTTTGTTCTAATTTTGAGCTGCTGCTTAAATTAGAGGAGATATCTTTTCGTGTGGAATTTGTGCTAAACACGTGAATGGCTCGGAGTGGAGCAACGGTGCGCCGTTCCGTGGCGTGTGAATCGGCCAAAAACTAGCCCACAATCGTAGCTCATAAATACAAAAAGTCGCAGGCGGGGTCGCTCTAGTCCGACGAAATTATTCACATAGCTGGCCGGACTGGGCCCGGCCTAGCCCATTGCATAATAGGCGAATGCGCGGAGAAGCGAAAACAAAACCGAAAGCGAATCTGAATCTGAGTCTAAGTCTGGCTCTGGCTCTGGCCTCTGAATCTGGTTTTCCGTTTTCGCTGTTCGATTGGTTTTCTCCAAAGTTTCTGGCTCGAGCGGAAGACTGGCTTGGCTCTCTGAAAACCTTCCCAGACTCCCCAATCCCCAATTGTAATCGCTGCGGCTTTTAAGCGAATAAACGAAGCAAAGTAATGAGCAAAAATTAAAAAACAATAGAACACAGACCCCAGCCAGAATGGGGAATGTGGAAAACGCAAAGGCAGGGGCACGGGCACGGGCAAGGCAAGGCTTGGCTGCGCCTTGGCGTCGCGACGCCTAACGGCATTAATCAAATGACTGAAGACACAAACTTGGCTAAGACCCAAACCGTACAGTGCGCAGGGGCATCGCATGGCGGGTTTTCTATTTATGACGAACAGCTATAAATGTTGCCAAAAGAAACAAACGCTTGTTGGCCCCGCCAATTCCATAGAATCATGCCCTAATGAGCCATCATTTACTCCAAAGGCGTGGCCCTTAACCATTTGGCATGTGTTGCCATCGGTTTTGGGCCAACAGGAAAGACTTACAAGACCTACGAGAAAGAAAAGCAGAAAAATCAAACAGAATTTCATTCCGTTCAGTCTTTAAGCAGCTGCAAAACTTAATTCCAGAGTGAACCACAAATCCAGATCTAAGTATAGCCTTTAGATGATCTATCCATCACCGTAATTATGGTTCTGTCCACCAGTCTGGTTAGTCTCCGATATTTCAAACTTAATGACGTTGTCGTAGAATATTTACCAAAAAATATTCCCACAGCAGCAGCATTTTTGAACAGAGTTGTAGCTCTGAAATCCCCTCAAGTCATTCACAAATCAATGACCAGTTGGTGCTGGCTTTTGGCAAAAATCAACTTGAGATCGCACCCACGTCTAGAACGAGGCGTTGAACCACGCCATGTGGGTGGCTGGCTGCCAGATGACAGCGACCACGACGACGACGACGACGACGTTGTGGCAGATTTGTGTGGGGGTTGGCAAGGCAAATGGCAAAACAAATAACAAACAACAAAAAAACATATATGTACATATATTCGGACAGCAAGCAAATCGAAAAGTGTAAAAAATACCAGACACCTACGTGCTCGGCTCATTCTATGATATAGATATAGATACTTTGGTATGGGTATCTATCTATCTATCTATCTATCTATAGATGTGCCAATGCAATACTCTGACGCTGACATATCGTTAGATATTTGGGAATTACGTAATGCCCTAAACTAGGTGTGTTGCCTGGCCTGGCCCCTGGCCTGGCTTGGCCCTCTTCTACCAATTTTAGTCACGACAAAACGATGTTAACACTTTCCTTGTTTGTTTGCTGGCCCTCTAGACTGGTGATACTAGGGGAGTGGATCGGAGTGGAGCGGAGTGGAGTGGAGTGGATCGGAGTTGACCAACTGTGTAAACATCCAAACAAAGGCAGGCGGTCAGTGCGTCAGCGACATTCCCATTCCCAATTCCCATGACCTTGTCCGAGCTGAATATAGAACACAGTGAGTGAGCTGGAGTCGAGAGCTGCGGGCTGCAACTAATTAGGCTCATTGCCAATGTCAAGTGTCAGTACTCGCAGATGACATCAGAGATTCACTCATAAATCGGAGGAGTTGCGCTGCTTCTCCCCCACAGCCTTTTTATTTTTGTTTGTCTGCTGTTCCGCTGTTAATTTATGCAATTCAGGCAACGCAATTACATACTCTCCGGCCAGTGTCACGTAAAGATATTGCTCAAACAACTCATCCGAGTTCAGAGTGAGATGAGTGAGTGTGATGTCACCTACTAAGGGGATTGGGGATGTGAATGGGGTAGGGGCAAACCATTTGAATTGTTTGCCAATAAATAGTATTTGGAAATCTGCATATAGCCCGGGCTCAGAACTGGTGTTGGATATGATATACTCGTTCACGCTCGGCTATGGTTATATGGCCATTTGAGTGCTAACCGGATTTCCTATAATTAAGTCTGCCAGACTCTGTTTGACGCCTCGTTGTCTTCGTCTATAGAGGCAGAGCCAGAGCTGTGGCATTGTGCCAAGAATGCAGAAATCCAAACAGAAATTTTGCCACTGCTATCACTGATTGCTGTCGAGCGGTGGTGTGGGGGTGTGGGGGTGTGGGGAAACTGAACAACAATCAAAGCAACTTTCAGTTTGCTCAAATTGTTAGGGTAAAAGTGCGACAAGTGAAAACAGCCAAACAATTGACAATTGATCGTGGCAGATTTCATTACTAGCCGCACATTTTATTGTTAATACTATCAGCAGCAACAGCAGCAGCAGCTCCCACGTTTACACTGAGCAAACCTTGACGGCCTTCTGGAGTGGAGTGGCAGTGGCTTTTGTGAAAGACTTATACACATGGGGCACCTCCTCTGCTCCTCTGCCCACCAGATATCACTGTGTGCCCCAGCGAATTGTGTTGCGGCGAAATTCCAAACTAAGTGATTTCTGTTATTTTTCAGACTCTTTTTTTTGTGTGTTTGTACGAGAGTAGTATACGAGATACGAGTATTCAATTTTCCTTTTCGCTCGCTTCGTTTGGGCTTGGAGCTTGTGGCTTGGAGCTGACGAAACCAGTTTTGTTTTATAGCCAGATTCAGATTCAGATTCAGAGATATTCGCACATGAGCCCACCACATTTTTGCCTCTCTCGTTGGGAGCTTTGAGCTTTGGGCCAGGCATGAATGACGTCATGGTTTGTTTGGGCCAGGCCTGGCCAGGCCAGAGATCTGAGAGAGAAGTTGAACAGCAGAACAGCAGAGCAGCGAACAGTTCCCATTGAGCCACGAACGTGTGCAAACGAAACTGAAACTACTCATTGTTGAGTCGCGTCTAATCAATAAATATCAATTTGGCTTTCATTTCATCGACCAGTGGTAGATCATAGCCATAGCTATACGCGTACGTACATATGTATGGAAAGTAAAGTGAAGTGCGATAGTGCGAGAGTGCAGTGAGAAGAGCGCCAACACGATGGACGTCAAAGACATAAAGGGCGCCAAGGTGACGCATGCGGGACTGCTGAAGCACAACAACGATGGCAGCACCGAGACGCAGAAGATCACCCACGCGGGCCTGGTGGCCCGCAGCCCCGAGGGCACCGCCGCCAAGGGCATGAACATACGCGGCAACGAGGATCTATGGGTGGAGATCCAGGCGAACACCTTCCGCAATTGGGTCAACGAGCATTTGCGCGAGACGGGAATGCAGGTGAGTTCGAATTCCGCTGTCAGTCGCTGTCAGTTGTTGTCAGTCGTGGGTTATGCAACACTTTCTGGCTTGCTGGTTTGCTTTTGCTGGCTTTCTGGCTGACCGATCAAGCGAGAAAAAACAATTACCAATTCAATGGGAGGGCTAGTTGGGGAATGGGATGGGTAAGTTAAGTATGTAGAACTATCGAATGGCAGTCGGAGCAGGGCCTGAGAATGCTGATCACCGGTGATCGCAGATCGCGGACTGCGGTTCGCTGATCGCCGATCAAGCTGAAAGTGAACGCTTGTGTAAGCCGAGACCCCCCCGTCCACGCTTGGGCAGGTGACAAAGCGTCAATTCGAATCATTAACTGGAGCTCTGAGCTCTTCCGTAAGTCGCCTTAAATGGCCTGCCTCAT